ATTTTAAAAACGCAGTTATTCTGTTTACTGTTTTATGTTGTGAAAGTATATCTTTGCTATATAAGAGGAGTTTTTTTTGTACTAGAGTGGAACCTACTTATTATGATGTCACTTATTATAATTCTTTTCCCATGTACCGATTTTATCCTTTATCTAAGCAAAACAAATCGTTTATTATGATATGGTCAAAGGTTGGACCCCGCTTATTATAATATTTGTTCTGCCGTGAATGGATTGTATAAGGTAAAAACTCAGGTAAGTTGGCCGTGTTTGACACCAGGACAATTGAACCATAGGTCGGGCTAACTGTACATCGTCCGAGGTGATCAACTATCCACTCCAGGTAAAAATTTCACACCTCGCTTCACCCCCGTCAGTGGAAAACAATAAATCGACCATCGCTTTCTAGTCATAACAAAACATGTGCGGTAGTCAATTGCTATCTAAAATACACTGTAGGACTGTATGAAATGGAAATGATTAGGCCAATCTGATTAAAATCATCTCTGGCATGGCTTCGTTAACCTACCAACATTTTCTGACACAAATTCTGATAAGAAAACGAGCATACCTTCCATTATATTTGCCATTAAATATAAACGGTTGCCTTGACACGTCATGTGAGAAAATCATGCCGATTCAATGAAAATATTACCGAATGATTTTGTAAAGATTGAGTGAATAACATGTTAATTTGTTCCGAAATAGACAGTGTGCAATATAAATGAAACTCCAGAATGATATTATCTATCACCCCAAGCTTGTATAAAGCAAATATATAGGCCACGTCTCTGACGCACTGTCACCTTGATGTTGAAGTCAATATATTATGTTTTGGGTTCATTGCGAGCGTAGCAAGCTTATCTGATTTTAATATTTTCATTTCTTGAGTAATGATTCTGTAACTGTTTATAACACTGCCCGCGCAATATCTGTTCCCGCCCCTCTTACATTTTTATAAACTCGGTGTTGAGCTGTTGACACTTCCCCAGCATCAATTAAATTGGTCAGCGAACCATGATAGAGACGTTTGTACCTGTAAGGTCAGTGGTCCGTAGTAGTAACAGGGTTAAATTTAAAGTTTTGAATCCGAGAATCTTTTTCTTGCATGATGGATGAACAGGTTGTTTTTTTCTGGTGAAAATTGAAATACATGTAAATATTCATGATTTATTCTACTCTGGCATTTTACTTTAAAAAAATGCAAGTTGGGAAAGTACAAGGTGGCTAGACAAGACAGGTATCTAACTTAATTTTGTGCAACACTATATGGTTCAGATTACATGCGTAGCAAAATTAACTGGAATGGTAACACCTGTCTGAAAAGAATCTTGGTCCGCCCCTGGTGAATTCTAAAGATAATATAATAAAAACTGTTGAACATGGAAAAAACATGACTTATAAAAATGACTGTTAAATATTATATAAAATAATAAACTTTGCAACAATGAAAACAACCAAAACATTAAATGATGTATTCTTTCTTGTATTTCAGGCAGCACATGAAGCTTTTGAAGATGTGAATAAATCCAAAGAGGCTGCAATTATCAAAAACAACTGGATTGAAACTGAAGATATTAATATCTGTAATAAAGATTTAACACGTGATCATTAAATGGACTGCATGATTGCTAGACATCGTATAGGGACCGCAGAACCAAATGATTTTCGATAGACGATAGTGTTAACGTTTACCACTGTCCTGGTTAAATGGGGTTATCCACACAGGTTTACCTCACACAACTGTAAATAAAATATTTAAAAATTCTTCCTATTTGAACACTTTTTATATGGGGGCCGCCATCTTGAATTGAATTCGGCACCAAAAATCGACCAAAATTTACAACAAATTACACACTTAATAAACTCATCCAGACAAAAGCAGACCTGATTTTTTTTATGCATATTACATCTATATATATTGCCTAACTATAAAACACATAAAACATTTGAAACTTCTGCCATCTAAATATCCAACCAGCAAGCACCGAAGCATTCACCTTCCTGTTAAATCTTCTGCCTAAAAGGGAAAAACCCACAATCTATTTTTGATTTGGTTCCGTGGTCCCTAAACATGCTGTGCAGTTGTGGCCCAATATGGATTCAAAAGTGTCCAGCAAAGCTATTTCATCTCATATAATGTTTTTACATACACTGGGAATACATGATCTCTAATCAAAAACTCAAAATTTTCCTTGATGGAGACCTCCCTTCTAGTTGAGGCTATAGCTCCCTCACATATCCTCCCCACCTTGTCACTTTCCTCATTGGTTGGTGCATTTTCAACAGTTCATGGGGCCCCCGTTATGGGTATCGAGCCTCATATTGGTATGTCCTAGACTCAGAACTTTATTTTAGGTTACAACCAATATTAAAATCCAAATATAATAAAGTTGAAAATTGCCACCTATTTGAAGAAATATATCTAAATGCGGAAATTATGAAGGATGGGGGACTTTCCGATAAAAAAAATCTGTGAGACGTATTTGCTGAGGAGAACCCCCAGCCCCACCCTGGTCTTAACCGTCCAAGACCACTGGCATAACTGTTTGTGTATCAAATAATTGTGTAAATACACATACATGCACATACTTCTGTAACTTACAGAGCAGTATTAAACCACAAGAGGCTTGAAAATCTGTATATAATATACTATTAGTAATAACACAGCATGTAACTGTCCATGAAAATTTACCTGGTGAGTCTAGTACATTTCACATGATGCGAAATTAGCAAGCAATGGTTAAGCTTGATTGACCCTAAACTTGGAAAATTTTGTGGACTGTGATTAACTGTTGCCTCAGCACATTTCATGATAACACAATACGCTTGGCTGACTTATTGTAGAATGGATTTCATGATATACCCCTAGTTTACGTACGTAAGAAAATAATATTTTTAATATCAGAAAAATATAAACTCAAGATCACTTTCACAAGCCCACCCTATTTTTTTGCATAAAAATTGATAACTAAAAATTGATGTGATTCATGTATCACAATATTTATTTGAAGTGAGGTTGTTGTTTTATGACACAATGTCAATAAGTCCCCCAGCGGTCCCCAGATGGAGGATAAAGAAATTGATTTAAGTTTCATGCTGTTACTATTAATATAATAATACAAGGAGGTGTATACTGACATGTAACCCATGGTAAAATCCTAGTTGAATTAAAGACATTTGTGACACACGTGCACTGCTGCTGGTCTATAGAAAACATATGTTTCACCCTCTACCATATTGCAACAGTCATATACTTATTCATTCGGAAGTCAACTCTTTATTTATGGCAGAAGCAGAGCCCAAAGCTTTTTGAAGCAGTACTTGTTGTTGGTCATCGGAGGGAAAATACATTTCAGACTATTGCCAACAGAGATATTAGATAAGAATAAATATTCGTTCACATAATGTTCAGCAATGTTTAACCTGCATCTCAACTGACTGTACTGTGTTCGTTTTTCCTAAAATGTTATAATCAAGAAAGCATGTGTCTGGATTCTTTCAGTACTTTGATTGAATTTTACAACAAATATACCGGACGTGAACATGAAAAAAGAATATATAAATGTTAGAAAGTGAAAACGGCAGAGTTGGCTCATTTGAATGGTCTTTGTGTTCGGAGTAAAATCTGGATAAGAGTAGAAAGCTACAACAAACAAGAATGTCTACCTTTTAACCCCCCCCCCCCCCCCCCCCCTAGAAATATTTAAGATAACACAAAATCAGTCGAACATACAAACAACAAATCAGCATGTCGCAGGCTTTTTATAACTTCGTATCATTTACTTGCGTCTGCGTATACGTGCTCATTTTAAAAGCGTTCATTAATCTATGTTTGAATAAAAAAAGGTCGTCTACTATGACCTAGATTCATGAAAATGGTATAAGATGTGCCATGAACTAGTACGCTATTATGGAAAATTTAAGCAGATCTGAAATGAATATTTACCTTTATCCATGACCCGATATATTATTTCTTAAATAACTGACATGATTTGAACGGAGCGAAAAAAATGGACAGGTCTTATTTTTTTGTTCATTAAGCCGTGTATTTTGTCCTTGTGTTTTAACGTTGTGGTAAATATTGACCATGTGTATTGCCCCCTTGTACAGTTGGGGCAAAATTAACTTGGTAAAAGTGAACTCCAGGTCACTAGCTTGTGCACTGGAGTTAACACTGAAGTGAACTGGAGTTCACATCAATGTGTACTGGAGCTAAAATTGAAGTGCACTCCAGTTCACATCGATGTGCACTGGAGTTAACTACAGTTCACAAGATAATTTTCTTTATCATACATATGTCTGGCATTTTAATAAGTTTATACATACTATCATTTCCTCCCCTACCATCTGCTCAATAAATCAATCAATCAATAATATATTAGATGCTACCTATTCATATACTTAAAATAGTATAGCTTATTAATTATTAGCACGTGTATCGACTTTGATCCATGGTTCATGTATATACAAGTGGTTTAAAGTTTATAATACTTTGTGTTAAAGACATAATCACATTTGGAGTTCCTTTATAGTTATAACAGTATTAAGTTACATTAAATATACAAATTTATCATTATATTATTAGCAACAAAGCACCGTATACACACCAGCTGTATAATTTAGGTTTATCTCCCTCTCTGTCGCTCTATTTCTGCAAACAACAGCTAGTATGGTCATACACTTCTACTTCTAGTGGACGCTTTATAATTCTAGGTCATAGTCTATATACTTCTAGTAGGACCCTTATACACCTTTACTTCCGGTAGGACCCTTATACACCTTTACTTCCGGTAGGACCCTTATACACCTTTACTTCCGGTAGGTCCCTTATAGATCATATAGATCATTTTCGGCTGTGGTACAATCCTAGTCTGTGTGTATATAAGTGAATCGTTTAAAGTTAAGGACACATGTTTGCTAGAAAAACGAAGCAAGGTGTAACGTCGGACAAGCGCCGGTTTAAGGAATTTGGATGTAAAGAGCAACACAAAGAAAGATCATGAAAATATATACAATTTATTAAATGCAAATTCACTAGTACTCACTATCACACTCACTCTCAACCCATGCACCCTCTAATCATAATAGTACAGTTCATCAGGACCACAGTCTTCTAAAGTAAAGTGTCCTCAAAAACAATGTTCCATAAATCAACGTCTGGTCGACAGCACACCATCTGTTCTACCCGAACAGATCACCCACAACACTACTGTACCGCAGCACAGATCACCCGGAACAGTTCTGTACCGCAGCACAGTTCAGGTCCCGAGAAGCTACGTCTGCTACGACGTAGGTAAACACACAGTGTTTCCGTAAATTACCCGCAGGTAACTAGACTTTAATAGCGTTGTCCCAGTTGTCAGGGCACCAACATGTGACTTGACTAGTCCGCTAGTCCCCACTCAGAGCTGGTTGCTCCTGTCGGTCGACACACTGATTAACGTTTCTGGCACCCTGACCCTTCCGTACAGTCCACAAAATCCCTCCTGTGGCTAACCTCATATCAAAATTGGTCCTGAAGCCCAAGTCGTCTATGCAGACAGGGTCCTGATAGGTGCAGGAATATCAATCCGTCATGGAAAGCTTTAATATAAATAAAATAGATACAATATATTTTCCCACCTTCTCTTCATACAACGTTCATACAATAACATCCTACTTGAAAATTAGCCCAATGCAATAAATAGTCCTGACACATATTATATATATATATATTCTACACAATATTCATCTATATTAACAGTTCTACAACGTGTCGGTCCATTTATATCATAAAACATGATTAAATATTCAATTCAAATATGGCGACTCAAGGCTGCCGTACTTTTTCACATGGACAATACTGACTGGTCAGAATGACATTTATATGGACAATTAAACTCATCGTACATATTGTATCAGACTATTATAAACAATATGCATTATACATTACATTCTGATATAACTATATCAATATAAACATCGAAATACAAACATATTAGCATGAAGTAAACAATCCATATACACCCATACTACACCTGCCCTATCGCTACGCATGAGTGGACCGCACGTCAAGGTATACACTAGAAATGCATTTACGGGGATCAGAGACACTCCAAGATACAAATTAGTGAAGTAAGAGTAAGAGTAGTATATCAATTACTCACCACAGTCTGTATTCTGTGCCTGAATCCATGGAATGTGTCTGACACAGGTAATGTTTAGCACATCGCCATTACAACATGTACACGTCTCGCGTATGTTACCTGTGTGACGAATCCTCACCCCCGGCACGTGCACTTCCGTTCTCTAGTGAACTTACCTGAGCTTAGCACCCACGTGTTACACATAAAATATTAAACATAACCAATAACACCACAACACATGATATAACATATAATAATTACATGCGATCGTGACACAAGGGAAATATAAAATAGACTTGTGACGGACCAAATAGTTTCTATCTGATACCGAAGCTTATTCCCTTTGAAAAAAGTGTGTGAGAAAAAAATTGAAAGAACAATGAATCAGGCAATATAAAAGCTACCAAAATGCTAGCAATTAAGGAGATGAATTCAGAGAAAAGGAAGAGAAACGTTGAGGAAGCCACGTCTGCATAAACAGGAACAGTAAAGAGATTGACAAAGGAGGACCTTTTTCGTGTTTAATTTTGTTTCTATATATATTCAAATACTGTAATATATTGATAACAAAATGTGTATACGCAATAGTGAAATATTAATAAAATGTACACTAAACAAATTATAAAGTCTTTGTTATATATATATTATAAGAGAAGTAAGACACCTCATACAACATTAGTGAACTCCATTTAGTCATGGATTGATGACATACAAATATGTACTACTCCCATTCTGCTACGGATCACCTATATTTTGAGAAAAAGAAAAAAATGTTGGAAAGGATATTATCTTTTCCTTCCGTACTGTTTTGGGCGAATTGTTAGTCTTTCAAATCGTCATGTGTGGGTGTGTTCAGTCAACCATAAAAGCACGTGCATGCTTTTTCACGTGTACACCCCTTTCAAAACCCAAGCTAGGCTAAGTAAGGCGTTGCTCAAATTGTTAAGGAAGGCAATTTGATCATTATCCATTGAGTGTTTTTGTTTTAATATGGCACAAAGACGAACCAGACAACGGTTAAATGACGGTAAAATGAATAGGGGCATCGGAATGCTGCAAGCTAGCATGTGTTAACGTCAGGTTGCAGCAGACATTGATGTATCTCAGAGTGTGGTGGCAAAAATCAGGAATCGTTTCCAAACTAACGGAAACCCTTCCAGACGTCATGCTGGAGGTCGTACAACGTAGAGTCAAGACCGATTTTTGCTCATACAGGCACGCGTCACAGGTTCGAGACTGACACAGCTTTACGAAATCACCTTCTAAATGCTTCTGGTACCCGGGTAGCTTCTCAGACAGTTAGAAACCGTCTTCATGGTGCTGGTTTAAGGTCACATAGACTAGCAATACGAGTTCCCTTAACTACCCGCCATGTTAGGGACCGATCAGATTGGGTCCAAGCTCACAGCACTTGAAAACTTCAGGAATGGGAGGCCAGATTCAGGTAATGTTGTGGAACATGACCAATATGGCGGAGGTTGTGTGATGGTGTGGGGAGGCATAAGCCTTCGTGGGAAAACTGACCTCCGTGTCCTCCATAATGGTACCGTTACGGCCCTTTACTTACTGAGATGAAATCCTTGATACCGATGTCAGACCCTACGCTGGCGCTATCGGCCCTGACTTCATTCTTATGGACGATATTTCTAGGCCACATACAGCAAGGATGATTGAGCAGTATCAACAGCAAGCGACTATGGATTGGCCCGCCCGCTCGCCGGGTCTAAATCTCATCGAGCATATGTGGGACATGCTGCAGACAGCGCTCTCTGCCAGAAATGTTCAGCCAAGAACGATCCAGGGGCTTTGGTAGCTGAGTGGAACGCTATCCCGTAAAAGCGGATACGCGATCTCATTCGGGGCATGGGCAGACGTTTGTGAAGCTGTAATTGATGCTCATGGGCGTCACACTCGATACTAAAACAGTTTCTGTTTATTTAGGATGAGTTTTGTTCAAATCAGTTTTTTTAGTGAATACCTCGTCGTTACCAATTTTAAGGGTAACCCTTTTCCTGTGGCTCCTTTTCCGACTGTAATTACGATTTTTGGAATTTTTGCATGCTAATTTAATTAAAAGAACAATATTTTTGTCAAAATAATCTCAGTATAAATCAATTTAAATATTTATTTTCACATATGCCCCCAAAAAAAGTGATCCTTAGCAAAATATGAGTAGTATATATAACAGACGATTCCCATCTCAGATAAAAAATATAGATATACATTACCTGTTGTCTTCATGGCATAATCAGACTATGATAAACATACACCGCTTGTCAATGGAATGCAAATTAGTGGCAATCATTTAAATGCGAACCATTAAGCAGACATTCAAGTGGTGTTCCATTTTATTCATGCCAACTTTTCTTCTTTTCATAAAAATAAATCATAATGAAATACAACAGGATCAGCACATAACTCTAACAATTAATAGCTGTTAATGTATCTAGACTATAAAAAGGAAAGAACACATATTTGTATAGCCATCTCAAAACTAGTAAGATATGTAGTTGTACGTGATGGTACAAAATAAATGCATAAATATATATAACTCAATCATGGTGAACTCATGGGAAATATTGTCATAAATTGATGTTTGTTATTATATGTAAACTATTGGGACATTCGCCACTTAATGAGAAAAAAAGAAACCTGAGAATAAGGGACATATTATCTGACAAATGTTAATATCTAAATAGTTTTACATTGAAGGATATACAATATAAATCCCCCAATGTTTTTGAACACATACCGGAGTAATATATCTATATATGACATATGGGTCAAAGAAGTAATATAGACGGTAAAATCCCATGTAACACTGGATCCTAATGGAGGTATGTCCAAAGGATACGAATTACTTAAAATAGTATATGGGGCACAGAAGTAATTCCAACAGTGTAGACAAGTTTAGGTTGTCAAATTTTCAAAGTAGATTTGGCAGATGTTCAGAGTTAAAGTCCCACCTTCTATGAATAGGATACAAATCTACTTTGATAGATCGGGAAATAGACTACGTGAGGGTACTGGGCAGGGCAAGTCTGCTTGTATACAAAGTCAGACCCCAAACACAACGGGTACCTTGTGTAGCCATGTTCCACCCAGGCATGCCGCCACTTCCATCTATCTTGAAAGAGCACTGGCGCATCATCGAATCTTCAGCGAAACTTAGGCAGATCTTTCCAGAGCCTCCTATACTGGCATATCGTAGACCTAAAAACATTAGAGATATTGTGGTAAGCAGCAAGCTACCTACACCTAACCCTGCTGAGGCGAAAGCCTCTTTCAATACCTGTAACAAGAAGGTGTGCAAACTGTGTTCATACACGCGCTCCACAGATACATTTCAATGTACAATCAACGGCAAAATGTATCACATACTACAAACACTGACATGCACATCAGTCAATTTGGTGTATCTTATTACCTGCAAAAAATGGAATTTACAGTATGTGGGCGAGACCTGCAACCAGCTCAATATCAGAATCAACAACCACCGCTGCTCCATCAAGCAGAATAAACCAGACTTCCCTGTGGCAAGGCATTTAAATATGCCTAGCCACAGTTGAAAAGACATGCAGGTGGTTGCAATAGATCATTGCGCTACATGGGATGAAACGAGACGACGTACGAATGAACGGTTTTGGATCACCAATCTACAAACCCGCTACTTACGAGGTATGGACGAACGATAGGCGGTTGCCATCCGCTCGTTTTCCTTCCAGGGTGCATTTGACCTTATGGTGCATTACTGCACAGTTGGTCTGCTATCTCGCCTGCCTGCTGCTGCTTGTCAGTGTGTGTGACCAACAGCCGTTGTCAGATTAATTTTGCAGATTTATACAGCATCTTAGACATTTCCTCTACTTATTCCTCCTGCACTCACTGTGAGACGTCTTAGTGCACTTTCGCTATAGAGCAGAGCCAGCGAGCGTTCTGATATATAGACTATCAGCGTTCCTTTTCCGCGATGCTCTCTGCTTAATTGCTGCATTCGGCTGTCTTTAGCCGAGGGGGACTATTGGTTTTATATCATAGCTATATTTTCAATTATAGTATATCAGTTCTATCTTCTTGTAATATGATGTATATGTACATGTAACTGTTCTGTTTCACTGTGTCTTGATAAAGGAGCGGATCGCTCCGAAAATTTGACAACCTAAACTTGTCCACACTGTTGGAATTACTTCCTTGCCCCATATATATGACATAAATATACACATACTTATAAAAATATGTTAAACTAATAAAAAATACATATTGATTTGAACACATCAGGTGTAATCATATCAAATTATGTAAACTACTTTATAAGCTATCAAAATTAAGTAAAAGCAAGCTAAGTAAGGCAAACAATAATAGTTACAATAAGCGTTAAGTTGGATAAAACTTAAGGATGCTACATTGACAACAGTGTGTATACTGTTTGTCACAAAAAATGCATAAAATGGAACCCAAGGTATAGAAACATATTTAATTAAAACCAACAAAGGAAAAAATAATAACAGCGTCCTAAATGTGACGCTCTTCAAGTGTTTTGATACACTATATTTAAGATTTTGACATTTTATGTACACATATAAATGTACATAGGATTATTTATATAAAGATTTCTATTTGTTTTGGTAAATATGATTACAATACGTAACATGTATTACCGTACTAACCTTAATGACGTACACAATACTCCAGAAAATTGTAAACAGTAATCCGTGGTGATGTGTGTAACTTACGTAGTATGTGTGTAACCTATGTAGTACATGTATGTGTGTAACTTATGTAGTATGCGTGTAACTTATGTAGTATGTGTGTAACTTATGTAGTATGAGTGTAACTTACGTAGTATGTGTGTAACTTATGAAGTATGCGTGTAGCCTATGAAGTATGCGTGTAACTTATGTAGTATGTGTGAAACTTATGTAGTATGTGTGTAACTTACGTAGTATGTGTGTTACTCATGAAGGATGTGTGTAACTTATGATGTATGTGTGTAACTTATGAAGTATGCGTGTAAATTATGTAGTATGTGTGTAACTTATGTAGTATGAGTGTAACTTATGTAGTATGTGTGTACCTTATGAAGTATGCGTGTAACTTATGTAGTATGTGTGAAACTTATGTAGTATGTGTGTAACTTACGTAGTATGTGTGTTACTTATGTAGTATGCGTGTAACTTATGTAGTATGCGTGTAACTTATGTTGTATGCGTGTAACTTATGTAGTATGTGTGTAACTTATCTAGTATGTGTGTAACTTATGTAGTATGTGTGTAACGTAGGTAGGATGGGT